GGAATAAAAACATAAACACATTCCCCGGAAATTCTCCTGAAATCCCAGATTTTTATGTTTCAAGCCGCAAGAAAATTCGATGATTCAAGTCTAGGAAATCAAAATTTAAAACAAGTACCCCCCCCCCCCCCCCCCCCCCCCCCAATCTAAGGGCGCAAAATTGCGAGACGGTCGAGTTTTCAATTGTTAAATTTTAGTCAATTAAAAACTAAATATCTAGCATCTGCCTTTGCTGCCATTTTTACGTCCAAAAGTTGCCACAAAAATGACAAAAGTTGCCATTAATTTCAAGCTTTCAACTAACCGTGACGACGTAATATATGGATAGAGGTAACTTAATTTAAAACACCAGAATTTCTTGTGCTCCGTTTTAAGCATCCAGAATATTATTTGTAGCCACACAGGGGGTAAAAACGTGAAAAACAAAGGTTTTACAACAGAATGAAATCAAAATTAGAAAAATAAGGGCGTGTGTCCACCTATCCGAAGATTGGCCGTTTTAACCCTAAACGTGTGTAGTAATTCAAGAAAAAGTACAGGATATTACATGTAACATGGAATGACACTCAATGGGCCTGCCAGTGTCAGTATTCGGTTTCGGTGGAGACACGCTCTAACATAACACATCTATATATTTTTTAATGTAGGAACGTCAAATTAAATGACATTACGCTATATAAACACACACGGAAATAGATCAGAAAAATAACTCCCTAAGAACTAACACACCAACAAAGAGGGAAAAATAAAAGACAGTATGTAAAGTACTTATTATTAATCTTAGCGTGAAAATAACTATAGGCTACATGGACACCTTGAAATTATCAAAATACACGTCAATGTTATGAAGTAGCCTTTTCTTTTTGAAAAATGCAAAATTCGCGGACAAAAAAATTTGTGGCATCGTGGTGAAATCAGACGCTCGTCAAAATTAGCAATCAAAGAAACCTGTATTTTTCCAGCAGTTAGGCAATTTTTACAGATTTAAAAAATTTTTAGGCTCAGTCAGCATCTTTTATGATGATTTAAAAACATTTTTGCGTAGATTTTACAGAAATATTATATTGATTAAAGGCACAAAAAATAAAAATTTGGAGTTACCAAGGGCTCTCACCCTCAAGCTTTGGAAGTCACCAAACTCTGGCGGTCTTTTTCTCGCATGTTTTTTTTTTTTTACCCCTGAACCTACGGAGCGACACCCACCTCTCCAATTGCACAAACGTAATGATTATATATACAGTGGGGTCCATTGAAACCAAAATATGCCAAACCACCTCTGCCTTTAAAAATAGACTTAACTTAATCGCAACTTACGGCAGGTACCACAAGCGAAAACATTTTTTGAACAACATTGATGTTTAAACCTTAGGGGTTCAAATCTACTCAATAAAACAAGAACATTAAAAAAAGAATTATCAAAATCCATGAATAAACAATCGAGATATGGTAGTTCAAAGTTTTTGAACGAAACTTTTTCAACTGCGACTTTCACCCATGTTTGAGGTGTTCTAAAATACAAAGTGCAGGATCAAATCGATGAAAACTTTGTTTTTCCCACAGATGTTAACACAAATACTGATATCTCTAAATCAAGGCATGTTAGAATGACTGGTTTCCAAGATATAGGCCTTCAAAAATTGAAAAAAAATATGCCAAAATAGGTCATTATGAGCTCAACCCTGTCATCAACCTCTTCCAAATTAGTCAAAACTGCCTACCCATTAGTGAAAGGCACACAATCATTACAAATAATAATAATAATAGATAGCATTTGTATAGCGCATATCCCCGCTTTGAAGGTAGAGAATAAAAAAAACTTAAGTTACAACTACAGTGTTAAAGTGCTGTAGTTACAACTGTCATCTATACTCAATACATCTATACACAAATACTTAATAATAATAATAATAATAATAGATAGCATTTGTATAGCGCATATCCCCGCCCAGCAGCAGGCTCTATGCGTTTTACACTATATTATTACCCCAGCAGACCATAGTACACTCCGAAACATTCTCAGCTTCCCGGGAAGCATACAGTGCGAGCAGCCGATTAAGCGCTCAAACACTAACAAACTGACAAGATCTTTCGCTGTCTATAGCCGGGTACCCATTCTCACCTGGGTTAAGTGAGGAAAATTCGTGTAAAGTGCCTTTTCCAAGGACACAACGTTGGGCCCTTGACGGGATTCGAACCCACGACCTTACGGTTGCGAGCCCGAGAGCCTAACCACTAGGCTACCGACGCCACAAATACATGCATAGACTTAGCTGAATTTTTTTCAGACCTCTCTGATGATAAGTAACTTTTCTGGACTCCTCTGAAGTGGGCTATGGGGCAAAAAAACGCTTCTTGGACAAAAATATGGGGAACTCAGGTACATCCTCGGTAGGGTTGGGGCGAGCGGACGGACGGGTTCGTTACTCGCGGACTCAGTCAGAGCGAACAGGTAACGGACGGCCATGAGAGCGAACTGCGAACCTCAAGACAGTTAGTTTTTTTGGGTCCGCTCCACAATTTGACTCTCTCAGCGAGCGGACTGCGGACCTCAAGCCTCAAGTCAGTTCGTTTTTTGGGTCCGCTCCACAATTTTATTCACTGGGCGGGCGGGCGAACGGACGAACTCTAGCAGACGAGATACTCGACGCGAGATTAGACCCGTCGTCTATTGTTTGTTAATTAGGCCTGATGTTTCAAACCACTAGCGGTGCCACAGGGAGTGAGAGAGGCTGGTGACGTAGTACTATGTGTGTAACCTTTCACCTCGTGCGTGGGGCACACTGTGTACGTTCCAATTATCTCAAAGGCCGGGGGAGGGGGGGGAATTTCCGTCATGAACGCCTAGCTACAATGTGAGGCAGGAGGGTGATTTTTTTATTATTTTTTTAGGGGGCAGGGGGGGGGGGTGTAAGTTGTAGGCAATGGAAGGAGTCGTTCCCGTCCGTCCGTCCGCCCGCCCGCTCGAATGCATGGAGTCTCTCGATCCGCCCGTCCGCTCACTCGCTAAACGAACTGTTGTCTCTGTCCGATGTGTAGCGAGTAGCGAACTACTCTTCACAAACGGACGGTTCGTTACCCTTCCGCTCGTTTGCGGGTAATGCCAGCGGGTAGTTCGTTACCCGCGGACGCTAATTTTGCGAGCCCGACCCAACCCTAATCCTCGGGCAAAAAGTATCACAATTTTAAGTCTCTGTATTGGCTTTGTTTCAACTCTGATTTTCCTCATCTTGGTATTGTGCATAGTTTATACAGGCACCTGTTGAAACAAATGATAATACACACTTTATGTACCTGAATAAATTTTCTGGGAACTCAGAGAATCACACTTTTTTACGTGATTTTAAAGTTGCCAAAAATTTACGACGTCCACAAATTTCAAACGCCTGTCATTTTTTAAATTTATCGTCCGATTTCTATAAATTCAAACACCAACGTTCATGGTTTGCAAAGTTCTTTATGATGCAACAAACATATGTTTGATCAAAGCACTTTGAAATTTGGGTTTGTGGTACGGGGCTGTTCAAATATAATCTTACACCTTTTGGGGGATTTTTCTGACCCCCCCCCCCCCCTTCTTACACTTTTCTTACATTTGCCCTTAACACACAACAGCACCCCCCCCCGTAATATTACATTGTTCGCTTATAATGATAAAAATAATATGACATTTATATCGCGCAAATCCGTAAAACAATCATTGCTTTATGTGCATTGCGTAATATTCATGAAAAACATGCATACACACATACATGCACATATTAATATATAAGGTGTTACGACTTGGTGGGATCAAGCGCTCGTTTGTTTTGATTTTGAGGCATACAGAGTTATTGATATCATCTTAAAGCCTGTCCATTTGCCTTCGTTTTGATGAAAACAATATTCATCTATGCTGAATAGAAGTCGAAATATTTGTGATAGAAGGAGGAGGGGTCACCTGATTTCAGAGGTAAATTTCGTGAGAAAACGGCCGCCAAAGTTTGATAACTTCAATAGCTTGAGAGCCTTTAAGACTGAAAAATCACAAATTTTGTGCATGTAATGAACGTTTTTCAGTATGGACGTAAAGGGTGTTTAGCGGAAAAAAATAATTCAATAAAAGTTCCCAAACCTGCAGGAAAATGCCAGTTTTTTTCCCTTTCATTATTTTGAAGAGCGCCTGATTTCACCCCGCTGCCTCACAATTAGAGTAAATCATTCTAGGAAAATATTGCACACACACTCTTTCTTACTGACAAAAAGGAAAAAAATTGAGACACATGTTATGTCAAAAGCGCTTTAATTTTAAGAAAAAAAAACAAGTTACAGTGGAATTCTGATAAAGTCAACCCCCCGGACAAAAAAAAAGTGTTGACTTTTAGCAAGGTTGACTTTATCCATTGTACTACTGGCCATTGAAAATTGAAGATGACAGCTACAAGATTACAAAGTACCTCAGACCTGGTAATAAACAAGATGTAATCTCAATTTCAGGGAGTATAATTCTGAAGTTGTCTCCAAAACAAGAGATAATGAAAGAACAAAGTACATATATGTAATAAGAGGTGTGTAAGTGTACACCATTTGCTCAGGCGAAATATCTCTTCTCGAATGAATTCATCTTAGGATTTAGCCCCAAATTGTTGACTTTACGAAAGATTAACACTCAAGCGGTTGACTGTATCAGAAACACAATTACTTAAACTCAAACAAAGAAGGTAAGAAACGGGACTACAGTGAGGTGTTCACTTTAAGTAAGTTGACTTTATCGGGATCCCACTGTATCTCTGTTATTACTGATCATTTACGCTGAAAAAAAAAGTGAAATTAGTTATCATCAACAATTGCAGAGTTCATCATTATGTCGAAAATATTTTTTCACCTCACAAGTGTAATACATCAGTTCAAGACCCCCCCCCCC